TTTTTTCAAAGCGCAGGTATTTTACTTTCAGCATATTTTTAAAGATGCAAATCAAAGGAGTCTTGCAGCATTTGGCCACAGGGAGAAATAGAATGAAACAAAGGCAATAGAAATAATTAGTCAAATTCCACAAAGAGAATGTGATATGATACTATAATACAGTTGATTGCACCTGCTTTTGAATGCCAGAGTATGTTACTAATAGCTGTCTATTTGTCAGTACCAGAGCTTTCATTTCTGTACCTAAGAATGCTTTGTACCAAATGGTGGTGTAGAATTCAGAGTCCTATGGAAAGATATGATTATTTAAGGCTCATAATGCAATCTATATTTTATGCAAGATGGTAAACTGAGAACAGTCATAAAGTACTATTTTCAACTTTGAGTCTGTGGTTGTAACTCTGGAGATAAGTGCAAGAGAGTTCTTAAGTCTTCAGGAGTGTCTAAACTTAGGAGCTGAAGTGCAGTGGGATTTAGGCACTAGAAGTTAACACAAGACACTGTTAAAATCCTTCCCTAGCAACTTAATTTCAGTGTTACCTGTTGCCTTTCCTCACTCTGTCCCTACTTCTAGTTAAGTATTTCATACTTAGCTCTGTAATGCATTTATTTTTTAAAGCGATGATTTTTATACAAGAGAGTAAGAATACAAATATTTTGGACAACTTTTCTTTCTCTTCAGAATGATAGTTTTCAATGAACCTCAGTATATTCAATAGTGTGGGCTCTGTGGGGAGAAGTTTATGAATTGAGATAAAATGCTAACAGAGTTTTTGAATTTAAAAATGAATTTTTTTACAGACATATTGTGTGTGTAATAAATATGTTAATACTGCTTCAAGGTCTGTCAGGAGCTGCCTACTTGTAATATGTTCTACAGAAGAAAAAAAGAAGACAGGTTTTTTTTTTTTTGTTCTGCCCAGAGAAGTTTGCCTTCCAAAACATGAGCTTTCATCTGTTTATTATTGAACATTTTTATGTAAAGCTTTTTTACATTAAGGTTTTCAGGATGAAAACTTGTCCTTCCCCTCTAGCATAATCATCTGCTGCATTTCTATTTGCTGTCTCTAGTCACAGCTCTTAGCAGAAGATCCTGCTTTCACAGAAGATGTACATCTCTTGATAGTGGGTTCACTGTGGCTGCATGCCAGGCACCCACCAAAGATTGAACATTTTTATGTAAAGCTTTTTTACATTAAGGTTTTCAGGATGAAAACTTGTCCTTCCCCTCTAGCATAATCATCTGCTGCATTTCTATTTGCTGTCTCTAGTCACAGCTCTTAGCAGAAGATCCTGCTTTCACAGAAGATGTACATCTCTTGATAGTGGGTTCACTGTGGCTGCATGCCAGGCACCCACCAAAGCCACTCTCCTCTCTGAAAAATGGAGAGGAACAAGAAAATTTAACTAAAGGTTCATGGGTTGAGATAAGGACCAGGAGAGATCACTCACTGAATACTGTCATGGGCAAAACACACTCAACTTGGGGAAAATTAAATGATTTTATTACTAAAAAGAGCAGAGCAGGATAGTGAGAAAATAAAGTGGACCTTAAAAACACGTTCCCCCACATTTCCCTCCTTCCCAACTCTACCTGCTGCTCCCCAGTGGCACAGGGAGATAAGGAGTGGGGGGTACGGTTTGGTCATCACATGTTGTTTCTGCCACTGCTCTCAGGGAGAGGAGCCCTTCCCTTGCTCCAGCTTTGGGTCCCTCCCATGGGAGACAGCTCTCTGTGAACTTCTCTAATGTGAGTCCTTCCCACAAGGAGCTGTTCTCCATGAACTGCTGCAGTGTGAGTCACTCTTCACAGGATGCATTCCAGGGACAGCCTGCTCGAGCACAGGTCTCTGACAGCATCACAAGTCCTACCAGGAACTCTGCTCCAGTGTGGGTCTCCCCTCTCCACGGGGTCCACACGGGTTCACAGCCTCCCTTGGGAATCCACCTGCTCCAGCGTGGTGTCCTCCGTGAGCTACAGGTGGATTAACCTCCATGGGCTGCAGGGGCACAGCTGCTTCACCATGGTCTTCATCACAGGCTGCCGGGGGTCCTCAGCTCTGGGGGCTGGAGGACCTCCACCTTCTCCCCTGACCTTGGTGTCTGCATAGTTGTTCCTCTCACATATTTTCTCTTCTCTGGCTGCAGTTACTTCTGTGCAATAACTTTTTTCTTTCTTAAATACACTATCACACAGGTGTTCTCACCATCACTGATTGGCTTGGCCTTGCTACAGTGGTGGGTCCATCCTGGAGCCACTGGCATTGGCTCTGCTGGACATGGGGAAGCTTCCAGCACCTTTCCACAGAAGTCACCCCTGTAGCTCCTCCACTGCCAAAACCTGGCCAGGCAAAACCACTGCTCTCTTCTACAGCTGTTTCTCTCAAACCCAGCAGGTACATTCTTGTGATTGTGGTATTGGTGCCTGTTGGAAGAAGTATGTTCTCCCTGCCCTTATTCTTGCAACCTTTCATCACAACTCCTGCTTATGTTCACCTGATCTTTCTCACCACTTGAGGAGCAAACATTCCCCTTCAGGCTTCATAGAAAAGTCTTGTTCAGCCTTCCACGTGAAGAAAGGGAAAATATATCCTGTACCTCTTTCATCTTGCAGAAGAGGAGATCAGGACTTACTCTTACCCCTAAACATGCTGCTCCTCCTGAGGCCTTGGAAAACGAAGTAAAATAGATCATATCCATCACTTAGGGGAAGGGTTGGGGGGAGGGCCAGATACCCCAAGGACTTTGTGCTGTTCCTTGACCCCATGAAGATGAAAACAAAGTAGGTCAGAAGACAACAGATTTTATGATACACATAAACATTGTTAGGAGCTCTTAAGAACTGGAGTGGCAAAACAGGCAACATCCTTGTTGCTGATTTTGGATCACATCAGTGACTTGTAGTTTGATACATTTATTTTTCTTGTGATGTCTCTGCATTTTATAAGTCAAAATGAATGGGAAAACTCTTCTCAATTTTAGAATGCCATTTACAAATATTTTAGCCTGAAAAGAATAAGATGAATAATGTTGCTAAATGATTAGTGAATTTCAGGGTGAATTTGAAGTCCAAATGTTAGGAATTTGAAAAATTCCAGGTGTAGTTGTCTAGAAGCAGTGTTTTTTCTAACCATCTTCACAGTGAATGCAACTTTTCTCACTCCATTTACTACACAGACCTTGTTAAGTTTTTTACTTTAGTCCAAAAATGATTAATTAATTCATTCTAACCAGAGGTGCATTTCTCCTGTTTTAGCATCTTAACTCTGAGCCTTCACCTCTAGTCCATAAAAAGCATGTGTTGCTGCCCCAGTTGGCATTTTATGAAGTGGCTACTGCGTGTGTGAGTCTACCATGTGGTAGGAGCCCCAGGGCTTACTTTTCAGCCACATGGATTAGGGAGGGACCTGATGAGATAGTGTTTAGTAGTGGGAAATGGCTCTTTGAAAAGTTCTGGAAATAATGGTAAGCCTCTTTCTGTGGCAGACCTCCAGACAGCTTTGTGCAGTATTAGAGATGAGGGTTGGTAACTCAGTTAAGTACTTGCTGGCTGGATTTGTGAGTAGATTTATTATTTTCATGTCTTTGTTCATCACTATGCAAATCACTAAGTTGCAAATTATTCTGATTTACTCAGATAAAATCAACATATATTCTTGGAAGCAAATTCTGAAGGAAATCACTACTCAGTCTTTACTTCTTGTTTGAAGCCCCTGTCTACTAACATGAAGATTGTAGGGTGAACATTTTCAGTTGAAGCCATGAATTCTGTATTAAATTGTAAATCTGAAATACTAGCCCACATGGATAGTCCTTGACAAATATAACTGATGTCAGACACTTTGTTTTTTCAGTATTTTCTGGATGGTAAGGAATAAATTTCCTCTGTGATACTGTTTAAAGTAGGTTAGCAGCAGCTTTCCTAGGTTTCTCTGCAACTGATTTTGAAGCATGATGCTGAATCACTGAGTCACTATCAGAATCACTGATAGTGATTGCAGGGTGACATTTGCTTTCTCCCTCCTCCTCTTCCTCCAGAGTGCTGGCTGGTCCCAGCATCAACATGAACAGTGGCAAAATGTGGGCAGCCTGATCTTGTGTGTTCCCAATGAAATGGTTGGCACTTCATCTAACGCTAACACTGCCATTTCTGAAAAGATATCTATGAAGCCAAAGGAAATAAACCACCTGGCAGGAGGGATTTGTGCCTCATGCAGGATGTTCTGGACACTTGCTATCAGCTGAACTGCATCTGTAAAGCGAATTGCCATATTTTTCCTTCTTTCTCCAGGAACTTCAACTAATAGTTTGGTCACGCGTGCTTTGTATGTTTCTTTTCCCACCCTCTTCCCTTGTACCCTTCGTTTCAGATCTGAATGAGTGTGGACTAAAGCCACGGCCGTGCAAGCACCGGTGTATGAACACCTATGGCAGCTACAAGTGCTACTGTCTGAATGGCTACATGCTTATGCCAGATGGAACATGCTCAAGTACGCCAAGGCTTGTTGCTTGCTTTTTTCCAAGCTTCTCAACATCTCTGCTTGAGTGTCCCAGGGAAACTTCTATGAAATGAAGATCAGTCCCAAAGTAAAAGATTAATCTTGCTGGAAATTAGACAGTTGCACAAGATGAACTTCTTTTTTTTTTTCCCCTAATAAAATAAGGCTGATAAAAACAAGAGCAATTATTTTGATTTTATTAGTTTTATTACAAGTTTCCCCAAAAGCATTCTTCAGTGCTGTAAATCACTGTTAATTGGCCTTTAAGGGCACATGCTTGCAGTTTTCAGTGCAGCAAGACACCTGCAGTTCTGCTCTATTATGGCCTTATGAATGTCAAATCTTTAATACTGCAGATATTGGTTGTTTGACTGGTATAAAATTGTACCATCATCTCTCTGGAGATCAGGTTCCTACTTGCTCCCATAAAAGTGGTTATTTTGAATAACCTCTGGACAGAGGCAAGGGGAGAGAACTTGCCTTTAATTAGAGATGCTCCTATTTTAAAAAGGCAGTACCATCCAGGAGCATTTATGGTACATACTGGGCTTTATATTCCTCATGGGAGCTCTGTTCTGGCACAAGTAGCTACAATTGTGGCAGTTTTCCTTTCGGTTTGTATTTGTATTTCTTAGAGGTGCAGTTTGTGGAAAGAAAAATTTTACTAGCAGATGCATTTGCTCTTTGAAGCCTGAATGGATACCTGCCAAATTTCACAAGCATTTTTCTACTTTTATGACATCTTAATTCTCCAAAATTTTCAGTCATTTTCTAGTACTGATCAGAGTCCTTATGTGAATATGTTCAATTTTGTTTTTTCCTAGATGCCCTTTCTTGTTTGATGGCAAACTGTCAGTATGGCTGTGATGTACTGAAAGGGGAGGTACGCTGCCGCTGTCCTTCTCCGGGGCTGCAGCTTGGGCCTGATGGCAGGACTTGCATAGGTAGGTGATCAGATGTAGATGTAAATTTTTTTTTTCTCCAAAATGTTTTCATCCTTACACTGAATGCAGTTCATCAGATGTATATAGAATGCATCATACATGGAGTTTAAAGGTGTCATTAATGAGAATTATAATGAGTCATGTTGCTCAGGTGCTCTAAAGTGGTCTGTGTCAGAGATTGCTGGTGTTTTCCTCCAGTCCTGCAAGTTTCATTGTCTGCCTAAAGACCCTGTGAACAACTTGGTATCTAAGTTGTCAGTCCCCACCAATCCTGCTACTGGGTCGTTTTAAACTATTCCTAACAGAAACTCCAAAAAGGAATGGAAAGGTCACCTCTCCCTCATACTCAACAAGGTGGTCCTTACCTCAGGGGTAGAGGGATAATTTGTACAAATCATTAAAATTCTACTGCAACAAGGTGAAGGTCTGTGCAGGCTCCCAGTATTAATGGGAGTGAAGCTACTGTCTTTCTTCAATCCTATGAAAACTCAAGGTTAAAATAAACTCAGCAATTCAGAGTGCGTAAAAGTGAAATGTTTTATTCCCACATTTGTGAACATGCACAGAATGCTTATGGTTAATCAGACTCTGTTATGGTCTGAAGAGCAGTGTGATGTGTGATTTCATTAGTCATTAACTATACATCCTGAGTGGATATGATGCTTTGGTGATTTTATTATTTATATCCTATGCAGTGCTACAGTTCCATAACCATTAACAACACTTGCACTGAAAAGAATGTAAGAAAATGTGGATGTCCTAATCATCCATTTGGATATCTTGGCTGTCCACAGGGGACATGGTTCTCCAAGTGCCTGACCCATGCTGACCAAGAATTTGTTGGCAGAACAAGAGAGAGATTCAGGATCTTCTGATGTGAGCAGCAGGCTCAGCTCTAAGTCAGAGGCTTTCTAAGTGTGTGATTGGCCTGTCTGTGTATGGGAAAGAATGGAAAGAATGAGAGAAAACCTACTATTGTTACATGCTGAAGGGATTGTGATTAATCACATTGTGGGCATTATGGCAGACAGAGATCTTTGGAAGATACTTGTGCCACGCCATAGTGAGCTGAGTGATTTTAAGTAGAAGTTCAAGGAAGTAATACCAAGTACTGAAATTTGCTAGGAAAAATGCTCGCAAGATTCTCCTAATGTGCATCTTTATATTCAGGCAAATTTCATACTTTGAAATAAACAAACTGCACTTTAGAGCCAAAGACTAGCACTGAAGCCAGTCATATGAAGCTCTCTCAGTTCTTCAGTGTAGTTTTCAAAAAAATAATTTTTTCCCCAGAATGGCAAAGAACTGTGTACCTACATTTTGGCTGGGTCTGCGTTATTCAGATTTCTAAAATTTCCACCAAAATTTCAGAGCAGCCTTGTACAATTCAGAGAAAGTAGTTACAGCAAGAGATGTCTGTTCTTCCTGCATCATAACATAAAGTACTCCTCTTTTTTTTGGGAAGAAGTGATTGTGACATACATCCTTTTTGTGCTATGTCTCTATCAAGTTTGAGTCGTACTAAATACCTCCAAGAATTGAAGCTATTTTTGCTTAGGACTGTGCCTTTTCCTTGCACATGTACAAACCCATTACTCTGGAGAGGCTGTCAACTCCAGCAAAGGTCTGGCTAATGCTGCAGTACAAATAGAAGCATAGATGATGGTAAGAATATTGAAGTGTGCATTTGCTATAGCTCATGAACTCCTTGTTTGAGGAAAGTTTGAAAGACAGCTGGGAATGTAATGCTTATTTTTAGCACAGGTGGAAATTCCTCTAGGCATTATTCTATTCTTAGTTTAACCCATGCTGATCATTCTCTTGTTAAAATGTTCCTTCCAGACAATCCATAAAGAGCCATGAATTTGACTATCAAGGTAAATCATATAAACTAAATGACAACGAAGTTAAAAGTAATTCAGCAAAGTATTCAGTCATAGTTTGGATTTACCAGCTAATTAATTGACTAATGACTCTTGAATCAATAAATCACTCAGTGTTGCCAGATTTTTGGATTGGGACTTTCATTTAATGAAATTAGCAGTATATATGTTTCAGCTTCAGAAGGTCCAAAATTGTTTGAGGACTGAAAATAATGTTTTCACTATAAAATAAGGTGTTTCTTGGGGTTTTATTTGTTGTTTGTGTATCTAGAAACTTGTAAATATGGCCTTGTAAACTTAAAAATCATGCTATTTTTAAATCAGTCTCATAGTTGTTTCGTGCTTGAGTTGGTAATGTGGTCATACAGCAGGAGAAAAGCAAGACTTTGTAATTCTGCTTCTCTGTTGAACACTGACTGTCACACTCATTACATGCTCTCTGCATTATGTGCCTTTGGAGCAGCTGCCTGGCACTAAGATGAGAATACAAATCCACCCTTCATGCCCTGCTTTTCATAGAAGGCAGGTATGAACCACAGCATGTTGCAGCAGGCAAAGGGCAACAGCCTTACACCATTTGGTCCAGGTATGAGTTACCTTGAAAGAAGCCACAGACACTATGTTATTTGAGACCTGCAGGAAACTAACCATAAGCACTTGCATATCATCCTCTAAATAATGATCCAAAAGTGGTTCTCCCCTCAGTAACGAGCATCCATGCACCTCTCATTAAATGCAAGGGGAAAACATTTACATTTTTTTCATAAATTTTGTGTCAGTTTTCAACAGTGTGTTGATTAGCAGTCCTGTATCTGATATAACAGCCTGGAAAATTAAACAATACCACTACAGTTGCTCTCATCATCTAACATACTTCTTACCTTATGTGAATTTACAAAAATATGAATATGTACAGAGAGAAAGGCAGGACAAGCTACATTGGGTTTTAAAGAATATAATCCATGCCATGATGAGGTATATTCATGGGTAATCTGTTTCTTACTGAATTACTTTTTGAAGTTGTGGTTTAAAGATTAAAAAACCCCAACTAAAACCAACAAAAAGCCCAACTAATGCACAGTAATCAAGAGTCTGAAACTTGCAGCCTTGAAATAGTATTTTAATAAAGGGTAGAAAAATGTCACTTGTAAATTAAACTATAGTAAGGAACATGGTAGAATTTGTAAAATGTAATAACATGCTCGAAGCCTAAAACATTAAAAATAGTCAAGAGACAGATTTATAGGAAGATTCAGGCATGTGGAAAGGTGCCCAGTGTTGGCCTTGATTTCTTTCTCATTTAGGCCTTTATCACAGCATTGCAGAAAGTGCTCTCAATGGAAGGTAGAGGTTTGCTGCTATGGCAGAGCAGTGTGATGGGCCAAGAGTGTGGGAGCTCAGGGACTGAATCCCTGCTGTCCCCAATAATTCTTCATGCAGAGTGGGACAGTGCCAGCAGGAGCTACTGGGAGAACTCATCTGGCCAGTAATTCATGGCTTTAGGTCACTTCTTTTGGCTGTGGGAAACATGGCTTGAAGAGTTTGAGGCTACATCTCCCCCAGCTCAGGTAGCTGCCCTAACGAACCTGCAGCTTTGTGGTAACACTTTTTCTGTGTGGAGGAAGAGGCTCAGGCTTCTCTCTGCCTTGTTCAGGCCTCTTTCACATGCAGCAGGGCATCAATCTCTCAGCTTTGTTTTCACTCTTGACATCTGCAGCTGAAGTGCTCCTTCTGGGAAAAGAAATTGTGTGGAGAGCAAAATCTTGCTTTCCCATAGATCAAGAGCCTGATAGAGCTGTAGGGCAAAGGCTTGAACTGTGCCCTGTAGATAACCAACAAACATCAGGAGCTGCATGTGTCAGAGGCAGCCATGCATGGCAGGTCTCTGCTTGGTGAAGAATTAGGGTTCAAGCACTCAGCAGGCTTCAGCTCAGTGTCCAAGGACTACAGTGAGTGGTAGTGCAAACAGCTCTTGTGTGTCAGCCTGACCTGATCTGAGAGTTTGCCAGGCAGTGAAAGCAGCATTGGGTGAGCACTGGCTGCTCCCTGGGCCTCTGCCTGTCGTGTCAGACAGCGTAAAGAACTCTGACCCTGGGAGCTGAGGAGCATCAGACGTTCACTGAGCATCACCCATGTCTTCCCACTCCTCTGCCCTTGCCTGGACATTGCACAGCTTCAGGTCCTGCTGGGAGCCCTGGGCAGGGCAAATGGGAGCCATGTGCTCATCACCCTACAGATATTTTAAAGTCACTTAGGTCACCAATTCCTCTGTGACAGAGGGCTCAGCTACAGCACAGGCACTGCACTGCGTAAGAGATTGCCAAGAGCAGGTACTCAAAAAAGCATTTCAGGCATGTTTCAGAAAAGAATTGCTGAGCTAGTTTTAATTATTATTCCTTGTCTGTAAATGCAGATGTCTTTATAACCAGGCAGGACTTAGTGGGACAAAAGAAAGTTATAGAAACAACATGAAATAGATTTCCTTCAGACAGAGTTTCAGGGATGAGTTTTTTGAGGCCTTGAAGCTGTCATGCATTCTGTGGAGGATTAGATAATGTCTCCTCTCCAAGGGAAAGGGTACCAGGATGGCAAGAGCATAGAGCAAGCATTCCAAATTCAGTAACAGTGCTTGTTATGCCAGTGAGTCTCTAGTCACCCACAGCAGTATTTGAAAAGGCTTCTGACAGGGGAGGCATAAAATTCTGGGCATGTGACCAAGAGCTGAACTGAGATGGCACAGCCAGAAGTGGTGCACAGGTATTACTGCTGGCTGACCAAGGAACCTCCTTATGAAAAATACTTTGGCTATTCATATTTAGCTTTCCGTTGTGTGAAACCAGTTTAATTTAAGCAGCACAGATTGTATTTTAACTGCTTTTAAGAATAATATAGTTCCTTTGTTTTCACAGATATTGATGAATGTGCTACTGGGAGAGCTATCTGTCCACAATTTAGACACTGTGTCAATACTTTTGGAAGCTACATTTGCAGGTGTCATAAAGGCTTTGACCTGATGTACATCGGAGGCAAATACCAATGCCATGGTAATAACAAGTTATTTCTTATGTGCATGTAATAGAGCTGCATATTCTAAAATGAAATTAATGGCTTAAAGAGAAATATTTATTTATTGTGGTTGAAATGTTGAAGCAGGTTGCTTTACACTGCATCAGTATTTCAGGAAAGGGTGGATAATAGAAATAGACTGTGAAAGAGAGAGCATGTATTTGGCCCACATTCTCATAACTGGCTCTTGTGTGGAAGCTAGTGGAGAGCAGAGCTGATGACCCCAGGAATTCCTTTCCAAAGCCTTTGTCCCTGCAGGTTTCACTGCACACAGCTGAAGGCTTGGAGCAGCATATGAGTTAGGCTATGTCTGGGCTGTAGCACTGGTGTGCTCCATAGCATGCCCCAAGATCCCAGATAAGAAAATATGCACGACCCAGCTCCTTCCAACCTAGTCTGCCCAAATTTCCTTCCCCTGAGGACAGGTGGGGAAAAGGCAGGTGTTGGGAAATAACTTTTTGTCTGGACATGAGACTGGAATGCAGCTGGTGTATGCCCTTCAACGATATTCCCAGGTCCCACTGCCTTAGTTTTTCAGGGTCTCAACCAGATTCTTTCACTGAAAAAACAATCATGTGGAGATAATGAGGCTTTCCTTTGTGTTAAAGTTTTTTTTTCAGAGAAATTTCTGTGCAGAGCACTGGAATTTTGAGATTGTTTGCTTGCATCACTAACAGCAAACATGGAAGTGTCATATAAGATGTTTCAAGTAGTTTCTGATTGATGTAGAAACACATATACAGATATATAGTATAGAAAGAATTTTATGAAGAAAAACCAGTTTAATATCTGATTAAGAATATGCATATTTCCTGTGTGCAGTTTTATTTTCTTATTATGTCACCTGTAAGAATTGGTTATTAAAATTGTGATCTTCATTATCTCAACTGCAATCTACCCATGGCATGTCTGAAGCTGATGCTAAGGTATAAACTGAGCAATACCAGAATTGCCCAATAGTCTCTTTTACCCTAATGTTTGTATCACCACACTAATTCGTGACTGTCTATCTTCCTTTTCCCACTGGCAACTCAGTTGGTTGCCTTTCTTTTATTTTTTGAAAGAATCATGCTGATAATAATGTTTGTAGTTTTGCAGGGGTAAGGCAGAAAGTCAAGTTTCTTTGAAGCAAACTATTTTTTTAATGTGAATTTCTGTTGCAGATATAGATGAATGTTCCCTTGGCCACCATCAGTGTGGTAGTTTTTCACACTGTTACAATACTCCAGGATCCTACAAATGCAAGTGTAAAGAAGGGTACAGAGACAGTGGGATGAACTGCATACGTATGTAATGCTCCTTTTAAAAAACAGATTTTGCAAGTCAATGTTGTCTCATTTTGTAAACTTTAAGGTACAGCACTGTCAGGCTCATTTTCTCTTAACTATCTTTAATACTGAGTAGGAGGCAGGGGAATGTAGTTGGAGTTTCCTAAGTCTTAGCATGCCTTGGTAAAAATACCTTTCCCTGAGACATTTTCATGATTAGAAAGAAATTCACCTCTCCCTATTCACAGCTTGATTCTAGACATTGCTTCAGGATGAGAAGAACTGAGTAAGCAGGGTAGGTCTGATCAAACAGTGCATATTACTCATACCCTGTTGTTATGTGCACTCCACAACTGGCCCATTTCAGCTGCTCATCCTGTCCACTCCTGCTGCTTCCCACGTGTGAGCAGAGCAGAGAGGGAGGGTTTCTGGGGAAGAATTTGCTATTGGAGAATTCCCATCCTCACCTTTCTCTTGGGAGAAGCAGTCATTGCCCTTGGTACAGAACAGGCCATTGGAGCTATCCCACATGTGTCATCCCTCAGGACTGTACAGCTCTATAACATCTGCTGAATGTTTTTGAGGACCTCGTGTTCCTTTGTGGGATCTGGTCTTTGGTGGCTCACTGATCTCTTTAAAGAGCAGTACCAATTTTTTTTCATTTGGCTATAGCTGTTATGGTAAAAGGTGATCTTTCACAATTTAAGGGCTTGAAATTATATGTGGAGACACCTCACACGTGCTACTAGGACATAGTCCTAAGGTGCATTTTATACTTTAATACAGTACAATGTAAAAATTGCAGGGTATTCAAATGATAGTAATAAAAGTGGCCTGAGGGAAAACCTTTTTACCTGCCATCATCAAACAATTAATTGTTTAACAAACAGTAGTTCTTCATTTTAACTGTTACACTTGAAACACTTGTACATAAAATATGTGACTAGAGTTCTTATAGGGCCTTTTAAGATCTCCAGTGAGATAAAAGTCTTATTAACAAATAGTAAATTATAAATAACAAAACAGATGTTCGTGTATTTCATGTTGGCAGAAACTCCCCTTGTGAAACCGAGTTAAAATTTGTTGCCCTTTCTTTATGAAATATTGGGGAGATGGTACTGTAGGCACTGTCACTGTGGTGTAGATGGTGCTGAGTTCACTGCTCCATTTTTGTGGAGGCTAAAGAAGTGTCATTTACTTAGTTTCCCAGTGTTTATCAAGGGTAATGATCTGAATGAAGGCTGGCTTAGGTTCAGTCTCTGTAAAATGCTGAATGCTTATTGACGAGGGCAAAACGTTTAGGAGAAGAAATCTGAAAGATAAGTTTCTTAAGCCAGAGGTGTCTGCCCATCTATGACTAAAATGGTTGTAACATTTGAGTCTTGCTAAACTTGCTTCCATTCCTGATTATGAACTTGTCCAGGTTAGAGGGCTGCTTAACCCACAGCTTCCTGTCCATGCTTTTTTTAAACAGCAGTGCTTTTGGGTAAGTTTTGCCCAGAGAGACTTGGTGCTTGGGAAGAGGTGGGGATGGAAGTCTCTTGGCTTTCAGTCATCCTAAACTGCTGCAATGAGAAGTACTATCTGAAGGGGTGCAATAACTCAGCAGTGCTGATGCTAAAGTATGTTTCTAATTAGTGGAAACATTCAGAAGAAGAAAAATTATTACAGCAAAGTTTTTCTGCATCATAATTAAATAGATCGTTTAGTTTCTAGAGTGAGAGGCTCAGGTATCCATTTTGGTCCCGATTTGGTTCTCTTTGCAGTTATTCCTACTGTTATGATTGACCCCCCTGGCCCATATCATATATTCAATGGCAGCTGCTCTCTCCCTAAGGGAGGCAGTGGTAGAACAAATAGCATTCTTGATGTTGGAGGCACAAGGCAACCCCTCAGACTACCATGTGTGCCTGCTTTTGTTACAGAAAGGCCAGTGACCACGCCAACGGCTCGGCCTACACCCGGGCCAGCAACTCGACCTACACCTGTGCCAACAGCTCAACCTACACCTGTGCCAGCAACTCGACCTACACCCAGACCAACAACTCAACCTACACCTCTGCCAACAGCTCGACCTACACCTGTGCCAACAGCTCGACCTACACCCAGACCAACAGCTCGTCCTACACCGAGACCAACAACTCGACCTACACCCAGGCCAACCACTAGAACTGTGCCAGTGATAACAAGGCCAGTGACACCAGTGACAAGGCCTCCACCTCCAACACCACTTCACCGTACAACAATAGGACCTACACTACCACCGCAAAGAACTCCTCTGATAACAACTGAGGAGCCTTCACATGTTCCCATTGAAACTACATCTTCCCAGGGAGTTACAGATGACAACAGGATCCAGCAAGATCCTCAGAAACCCCGAGGAGATGTGTTCAGTAAGTAATTTTACATACTCTTGAATTTATCAGAACTGTAGATACAGTGAGGGGAAAGCATGCATTATACTGTTTGGATTTTTTGGAACAATATATCATTGAGAACAAAGATATGAAACTGAAAATGGTCATATGGTAAAGCTGCACAAATAGTTGATTTTATTACCTAACAGAAATTTGGGAAGGAGGTTCTGAATTGATTAATCCAGAACTTCTTGCTTCTTTCTGCAATTATTGAGTATATTATCCTGTACAAGTACTTAATTATGCTTTCAGATGAAAGTTTCAGAGAGATGAAAGACATTTTATTGAAAAGTTTTGAAATGTGCCATAACTCATAAATAGTTGATGGATTCAAATTCAGGGAGTTGAGTGTCACACTTAGCGTATTTGTATAGCTTTAAGAATGGTAAGAAATGGGACCACGTCTCATTGCCTCAAAACTTTTTATATCACCTATGTTGTATGAATTCAAATAGTCTCAGATGTTCATGACTAAGCAGTGGGAAAATTGCATAAAATAACATAGAGGCTAATTTTACGGACTGCATCTATGAAAAGGAATACATGAAAAGCTGAAGATAGTAAAGATTCTCATAGCATGAACACATGTCATTTTAAGAGCTTCTCTGAAATCTACATCACCATCATGCCAGCTTTAGTGCATACCACAGAAGACATTACTGGCACTTAGAGAGCTAAGTGTATCTGCCAACAAATACTAAACACTCGACTTCATCTTTAGTTCTGCTGCTAATTTTAGAGATGGAGAGGGTGTGTTGGATCAGCCCTTCTCCTTCAGCTTCTTTTACAATAAAGCTGCTGAAGCAATGTAGTAGGAGGAAAAGTTTGCTGTCTCAGAGCAGGTGCACAAGCAGTGTGGGAGGGTATTTTTCTGGTTGCTTTGGCATCTGTGTGGTAACTTCTTGGGCTTTGTTGTCGTAGGTCATTACACACTGAAGTATTTTGTTTCTTGTAAAAACCGATTTGTTTTCCCTATGACGTTTTATCTGTTGTGGACAATTAGATAAATGTAAAATGGAGACAGAAGCTGACTTAGAAGACAAATACTGGTACTGCTTAGTAAAATGTGCTTCTTGGCTTTTTCAAGGTTATTTTTTAAACAATCTATATTCAGTTAAAAATATCAAACCAAATTTATGTGAAATTTTAAAAAGAAATACAGTAAAGACTCCCAAAAATAAAATAATGGAAGCCATAGTTAAAAACACACAGAGGTTTGTGGAAATTATTCTAGACTCTAGCGTTGTCCTTCCCAGGTGTCTCATGTTGCAAATGTTCTCTGGAATTCTAAAGCAGAGGGATAGTTTTCAGCTATTTTCATGAAGCCATAACAATCCTCTGTGTGAAGCTTATTATTTACAATTAGTCCCTGTGTGTTGTCCCTAATGACTAGATTTTGCAGCTAATGCTTTCAATACATATGCTTCAGATGTAGGGGTTTGGAAAGCAGGAAAAGAAAAGTGTTTTAAGTTTGGTTTGGTCTGACCACAAGCTTATGTTATGGTACATATAACAAACACAGGATCTTTGTGAAGTGTTTATCAACTGTTTGTTTAGGTCAGCTGCCACCCTTTGAGGTTTGTAATATACATACATAGCTTCAAAGGCTTCAGTGCACAACACAGCAGGAGTGCAACAGGTCAAGCACCAGCAGCTGTTACTGGCCTCAGTAGGTAATGCAGGGACAGATAATTCCTCAGGTCAAGCCAACAGATGTCTGTAATCCCATATCATTTTTTCTATACCCTGCTAGAGATATACTTGATATGCATATGACATAGCTGTGTGACTGAAGACACTCCACTTGTGCTCTAGATGATAGAAATTTGTGTGATGCTAGGGGTGTGATCATTAACGAAGCTGGTGTCTTTTCTTTTTTCTCTCTTTCTCTCCTTTCTGCTCTCCATTCTGTGCTTTTTTTTTTAACCCTCTCTTCTCTTCTGGCCACTTTGAAAGTATCACCCAGACAGTGATCACTGATATCCCTTCCTACCTTCCCTGTCCAGAGGCATTTATGATGGGAGCACACAAAAGCATTTGTTAAGGATTTGAAACCTACAGTCGGGTGCAAAACAGTTCTGTTTCAGAAGACTGCTGTTTTGTCAAGGAAAGCATTGCTTGGAGTAAGGTGTTCCTTCACCTGTTGAATCCAGTCACTGTAGGACTTTGTGGGGAAGGGGACAAGTTATATTTTCTCATCTGGGACATTTAGAAAAGCAGGTGGAAAAATTTATAGCCACGTACATTACTACAATGGGATTCACAGAGCCTGTCCTCACCTGCTGTGAGTACTGCATGTCTAAGGATAAAACAGAGATCCTTGTACATCCCCAGGCATTCTCACACCAGGGGCTCAGCAACATGGGAGTGTAGCTGGCAGGTGCTATGTTCCTGGGCATTAGCTGGGCTGCAGACCTAACTGCATGTAGATGGCACTTGCAGGGTAGGTTAAGCTTCAGGTTCTTGCAGGCCAACCCTGACCCTGCTCCAGGCCTGTGGGAGCAGTGCCTGACTCTGTTAGGCTCCAGCTTATCCCTGTGAAGCACTGCAGGCTCAGGATGGCAGTGCTTCCACTGAGTGTAAGCCAGGGCCTCTCAAAAAGCATTTCTTGCAGCCAAACATGGTGTTAACAACCACAATGTTAAGACAATATAGAATTTCAAACTAGAATAACTAGTAACATTTAACTAACCTCTGACTTGCTTCTTATCTACCATGTGGATGTGCCAAACCCTTCCCACTTCCAAAAACATTAGTGGATTTTTCACTTGCCTCTATATTTCCTCAGGAAAGGTGAGTTTTGAGCTACTTCCTTCAGCTTGTTTAAAGCTGTTGCTAGTTTAGTCTCATCTACATCAGATATCTTTGCAGTGTTCCTGGGTTGTGGATATGAGCTAGTTTCATTTGGCTTATACTGAGCTTCTTTAGGTTCATTTCCTCACATCATCTGCTTCTCCAGTCAAGGCAACAAAGAAGTTCTCAAAATGAATTTGCCCTGTGGTCCCCATATGCCTGCCTGAAAAGAGAAGAGAAAGCCTCACTCTTGCTGCCTTTATTTGTCTCCCACTGGAGAATGCAGGCAGCAATTCAGCAGTCTTGTAACTTCTACTGTCTTGGAAAACAGAGGAGGAAGTTGATGTTGGATCCACTCAGATCATGAAGTAGGATTTAACTTCATCAAGTACAAAACTTAACTGTTTTGTAACATCTTCAGAAGAATTACAGGGTCATCTAAGATGGGCTCTTCCTCCTGTGTCACCAAGGCCTGTTGTATCCCAAAGAGTAACAAAAGGTAGTGTTTTATCCCACAGGGATTGGCAAAACCCATCACAGAGAGAGCACTGTAGTCAGCAACCACTGGTAGTTCTGATCTTTCAGCACTTAGCATCTGCTGAAGACCTCAGTATTTAAAGTTGGTTTTTAAACTAGGTTGTCTTGAGGTACATGAACATTTTTCTTCCCTTTTCCCCCCTGGAACTCTGAAGACTTAGCCAGACTTTGACAAAGCAGCATGACAGTCAATGCTGCTTTGCTTTGCCATGGAATAGGTTAGGCAATCTGTGGAGTTGCTGTACAGTGATAGATGTCCTAGTGTACTAGACCAAATCCTGCAAATCCTGGTGGTCTAGGATTGGTCTGCATCAGGAGAGGAAACAGGCTGGAGCAAGTGTACTTTTTTTCCTTCAAGCATCTCTCAAATTCTAATTTTTCATTAGTTAAGCTTTTCCTGAGCTTGACCCTTGGTGACTCATGTCTCCCTATTTTCTCCCTTTGTTGTTATATGCCATCCCACACACTCAGTAAACTTGTCCACAGCTTTCACTTCAGAGCTCTCCTGAATCTGCTGCTCAACTCGAAATCAGCTGAGGAGCAGTGAAATTGGTCTGTTCAGGGGTGAGAAAGAGCACAAATGCTAAAAATGTTGTTTAAATGCCTTTGCAATTTTTGATAGCTGTGGGGCTGTTGCTTTTCTTTAGATGCTTTACCCCTTTTCTAAAAATGCTGGACTGACTTTGGGGAACAGCTTTTTTAGGGAACAAAAAATTAGTATTTTTTAAAATGGAATTCCTACACTTGGCCTTTGAACCACTTAGTCAGATGCAGACAGTGGAATCTGGCAGCAAGGATAATCTTCTCCTGATATGGATATGGGGGGGATGGCAATGAGGGAGAGGAATGCAGTGATGGCTTAATATTTAACTGTTTCAGGACTAACACAAACTACAGTGAAGTACAGAGGAATCTTTTCTAGTTACTCAGATGGATAAAGTCTCTAATGAATAGATCAAACTTCTCAGTAAGACTATGAATTTCTGCTACCATTGGGATCTGGGTGATAAGCATTTAAAGCATAAACTTAATACTAGATAACAGCAGAGCAAGAACAAAAGCCCTTATCTGTATTAAAAGACAGTTCAGCAATTTTCCCTCTTAGCGCTTAGTGGAGCTGAAAAGATTTGAATTAGGAGACTTTTCTCATAACAACTATTAAAAAATTTAAAGTTTGGATTAAAACTTGATTAATTCTGTTCTTCCTTTCAGTGACTGAAAAGTACTTAGTGCAGTAAATGCAGTTGTATGATCCTTGAAGCTGTTGAAAAAAGGGAAATGCTAAAAGCAACGAATGAGGACTTTGTTATTCCTTGATATCATTACAGTAGCATCACTTTATAAATAGCATTTCATTTGTCTTCACTGTTCTGGCACCTTTAAAATGTGTTTGTCTTAATATTTAAGATAGACAGTTAGTTCATGTTGGTATTCTGGCATTCAAACATAAAGTCTACAAGTCTTACAAATCAATCTTCCAGCTAGTTTTACCCTGGGATCTGATATACAAGCTTCTGTAGACTACTTGTTTTAGCTGTGTTTCCCTGAAATGCAGTTGGCACTCTGCTCCTCCTGAATGGATGTTCACAGAAAAGCAGGCAGGTTACTTTGCAGAAAATCTTCTAAAAAGATAGAATAAGATGCTTGATTTTGGTCAAAGTTAATGAGCCTTGTAACTGCCTGAGAAATGCAATGTTGGACTTTAGAGTGGTCACATGCTGACACTGTCTCTCCCCTGGATGCAAATGGTGCTGTAGACGTGGGACAGTCCAGGAAAGCCCTTCCTGAAATCATTCTTACTGCAGAATTTGAATCTGTAGAGTTTTAGGAAACATATCCTGGACACTGTGTCCAGACAAAAGGGTGAAGTGTACCCTCTTTGTTGCTTTTTCATTTTAGTCTGCATGTATCAAAATCTTCCCTGGAGGAACACAGGACTTACTCTTGTTTACTAAGTCTGACTGACCCCTGGACTACCCTTACTTTTAGCTATTTTCTACTGGTTCTGCTTGAGATCTCATCACTTGAGGGACTTTTTTGGAAGTGGGATTTAACAACTTTCAATTATAACTATTCAGTCAAAAAAATCTTTGTCCTTTTTCCTGCTGTTTTTAATAAATGGGAAGCTTGGTCATGATTATTGTGTGGAATGGAATTGTACTTGCAGTGCAAAACCAGTGTTTGCTGTAAGTCAGAAGACTGCATTATTAATAATAATAATTACTGAAAACTTGAAGTTGCACTCCATATTTTCTTTTAGTTTTGTAACAGCTAAACAGCAATTATTCTGTTTAATACAAATAAGCTGATACACATACATGCAATTTCTTATACTCCCAAACTCAGCAATTAGTAAGTAAATGAAAAAAAACCCTACTGTTTTTCCATTAAAAAAGCTGAGAATAAATCAGTCTTATGCAGTCATTTCATATTTTCCTCCAGATTCATACATCTGTGAAGAACTTACCTAATGAACTTTGAGAGTGTGGTAGTGTTGATGTATTGGCTCATTGAGAGCTCACAAAATTCTCCAAGAAAAAGAAGCCAAGTTTATATTTAACAAGCTTTATCAAACTGTTGAAGTTAAGTGAAAAGCACACTGATAGGCTATATAAAGTACACAGAAAGGCCTTGGAAACCTTGCAGAAAATAATTGTGCCAAATAGTTTCTCTCATGATTGCCACTCAACATATTGGTTGTCCCAGCAAAAAAAAGTGTACACATGGATCATATTTAGACTCCTGCATCTCTTATGGTAACTCTTGTTTCAAATCAAGTGCACATTCCTCTAATTAGGTCTGAGCACTCAAGTGACTGGTTTAAAGCACTGCAACATGTTCTTATAGAAGTTCATAACAACAGTGTTTGGAAAGGACTTCAGAGAAAATTTTTGAAGAAATATTTTTATAGAGTTTTCATTGTAGGCAAATATATCACCTTTAATTTGGAGAATGGTTGTATGTGTGCACAGATGTAACTCAGGTTTGTATAAAATAGCAGTGTGTTAGAAATGGTATTGTAGGGAGTAAAATGAAGTAGCTTGAAAAATAAATTCCCAGTATTTCTTGCAGTATTTTCCATAAACAAGGGCTATGATAGACTGGGAAGAGGATGCACAGGGTAAGCACATACCTTGAAACTGTGACCCTTGAGTATCCTACAAATCTTAAGAGCGTGGCAGTGGGTTTCATCAGTGCTCTTTGCCACAGTGCTCATTTAGAACCCTCTACCTACCTGTCTGTCTGCCTGTGGTCTGAGCCTTCTGTCCCTAAGAGAAAACCTAAGGTGCAGGGGAGGAACAGGAAGAGATGCAGAGTGTTAAGTTCAGTGTTACCCTAGATGAGAAGAGGTTGCAGGCATCCTGTTGCTGCTGGGTACGTGGGGGATCAAGGATGATGACTCTGAGTTCCTTGCAGGCTGGAGATCTCCTGCAGCTCAGGGAGAGGGCAGCTTGCTTTTCTGTCTGCTCTCATGGGCTGTGTTCTTTCCATCCCTGTGCTGTGTGAATGTGGCAGATGTAAAGACGTGCTAAGAGAAGGCTTAGCAGCTCCTGTACCTACTGATTCTGTGCTCAGCAGTTTTGCAGTGAATTGCTGACTTGTTCTTCACAGCATAGAAACCAAGCAGTATCTTTTTTCCCTTAGCACGCTCTGAGATGAGGAAAGGCAAGGTGGTAGTCCCTGAGCATGCAAGATAGACGTGTCCCACGTGTGGGGACTGCTGCATTCCACAGGGAGCAGCAGCCTGCAGCGTGACTGCAAGGCGAGGTGGAACTCCACTGCGAGGGCTTAGCTAAGGTGAGGCTGAAGTCAGAGCACTGTCCTGCCAGAAATGACAGTAAGTGACTGACAGGATGCTGTTCATTTAGCAGGCTTGGTAAGTAAACATTTCTGCAAAATTTGCTGTCCCAGCTGGCTGGCCACAATATGCACAAAGAAGGGAGTTACCAGTTGTTAACATCTGTGAGCAAACCCACTGCAGCTGAGTATAAACGGTGCTGACAGCTGCATCTGTACCACAGTGGTGGTGGGTGAGGTACTCACAGCCAGTTCTTATGTGTGTGTCTACTCCAGAAACTACTGCCCATGGTTGTCCACAGCTCTCATGCTGTTAGAGGAGTGTATGAGTGTGTAATGTGTCAGAAGAGCTTATGCTGCCATCAGCACCTCTGTGCCAGTGTGACTACTGCTCTATGATGTGCTCGTTCAGCTGTCCCAACTACATGTGAGATAGAGCTCCTAGGAAAGAGCAGTACACTGCTGTGAGGGATTAAGGATGAATGATGGTTTTGGAGCATTCCTGTTTGATTTTTTTCTGCTTGAGGTAAAAGCCTTTCCCC